TGCTTGAGAGTCTGTACATTTAGGCCAGATTTGTATTTGCACTGTCAGTATGGCAAATGAGTGAAAAAAATGTTAATACACTATTGGATTTCTTATTTCTTTTTTTGATTCAGCTTATACCAGGGCTGAAAACCTCTACTTATGTTCATGACAGTGGGGATTTTTTTACATGTCTACATTCTTTCTAATAAACTGTTGTAAGACTTAAAAAAAAAAATGAAAAAGAAAAAATCTGTGCCTTTTAACCCTAAGATGCATGTTTGAACTTCTTATCTGGTCTAACATTTTTTTTTTATTTGAGAATTACAAGACATAGAGAAAAAGGTCGAATTCTCTAGGTTATAAAGGTAAAACAGCAGTGGCAGAACTGCAAATCTGGCCTCTTAATTTCCAGGCATGAACACTTTCCTCACATGTCATTGTCCTTGAGAAACCCTTTTACAGAGAAGGACATTATTTATTGTTTGCATCTTGTCTTTGAACTATTGATAAAACTGATTGTCTGCTACTTTGTCTCCATTTCAAGGTGTGCTCACATTTCAAAATAAAATGAGGCCTGCCAGGTAAAGCCTTTGCTCATGAAGCCNCCATCATGGACCTGACAGCTCTGATTTTAAGGAGCAGAACGATAGCCCAAAAATTAGTCTGAGGTCACCATGGGCCAAGGCTATGTCCAAGATAACTCCAGGCAGGATCACTAGGCCTCCTGGAGGACTGAAGGCAACCTAAGTCCCAGCTGTCCCTAAGCCAGGAAAAGATGTCCTATATCCCATTTTGGAAAAGTTTAGAGAGCCAGTCGCCTTTTCCTTAAATTTTTTTGTTAAGTCCTTTTTTTTAACCTGGTCCAAAGTAGCAATTTAGGTACAGGATCCATCTGGCCAGTAGGTTGAAGCTGACCTGATGTCTTTTAGATCTGAGACAGTGTCACCACAGCGTACACATCTAAGAAGTACAATCCGAGAGAATGTACGTTGTCCCCTGAAAACAAGAGTTTAGAATGTTAGCTCACTCCAAACAAAGCACACATTAGTAAAGCAGTACAGGTTAACAGGGCTTCCAATTCTGTCTCCTGCCATTCGCCACCTGCCGTACCATTTCCCAGTGCAGTCTGAATAGCTGGCTTTAGAGGGACTGCCTGTGTCCATGACATCAGCTCAGTGGCGTCACTGATGTGGGTGATATCTGGACATGTTTAGTGTGAAAAGTTCAGGAGCTGGGGCCATTTTCCTTCTTATCATCAGTACTGTC